ATCCCAGCACTGGGGAGGCCGAGACAGGAAGATGGCAAGGAGTTTAAGGCCTGCCTGGGCTACATAGCGAGACCCTGTGTTAAGTAAATCAGTAAATCAAACCTAAAGCCCAGGAAGGAGCCTGCAGCCCTAATCCTGCCTCCAGGGAGGCTTGTGCTCTGGCTGTGGCCTTGACTGCCCAGCTGCTGGGATGGGCCAAGGGGCTCAGGCTCTGCAGCAGCTTTTGAAGCCGCACCTGCAAGCAGGGATCAGCTGCAGCTCCATGGAGATAGCTTCCCGGTCTACACCCAGCCGCCGCCAGCTGGGAGCTAGGAATTCCAGGTGGAACCACCCAGGCAGCAACAGGAAATGGAGGTTTCTTGTGAGGTCTCTGACACCCTGATTTAGAGCCTATCCTACTTCTCAGTGTCCTGCGATGACTGGCCTTAAGAAATAATAGGGGGAATTAACATTTTTGTCATAGATTTTATATTTTTAAATATTTTTAATTTTATTTTTTGAATGTGTAGTAGATATTGTGAAGTGAAAAAATGTCCATATGAGGAGGGGAAAAAGGGAGGTGCAGGAGGGAAAGAAAGGGAAAAATAAAAAATGAGAAAAGGTAAAATGGAAACAAACCTTCTGTAAATGGGCAGGGAAAGAGCAGTTGAAGGGAGGGTAAGAAAATGGGAAAAAAATTATTTTTTGACACGGTCTCTCTGTGGGCCTTCAACTCACTACATAGGCCAGGTTGGCCTTGAACTTACGGCCATGCTCTTGCCCCAACCTCCTGGGTGCCGGGGCAGCTCCAGTTTTATCTTTCAGAAGAAAGGCCTTTTTGAGGACAGAGTGGCAGTGTGCTTCATAGCTGACGGGAAGCCAGATGGAAACTCCAGGTCAGCACAAGTGAGCAGGGCCTCGGTGAGCACCCGGACGCTGGCAGTTCTGACACCCTGCCCAGCCAGGCAGTGTGGAGACTGTGCTGTGTGCTGCTGAGGAGAAGTGGGCTTCGCATTGTCAGTGTCTGTACAGAGCTAGAAGCCCTACACAGCTGACAGTGCCTGGCAGGTAACAGTGGACAGTTGAATGAATACAGCATTGTCACAGAAACCTTGAAAAGTGGAAACAAAAAATAAATAGCTTATAACTCCAACACCTTAATATTCAGTGATTTAAATTTTTATATACATACATTTTATAGTTACATATATTTAGTATACATGCATATGCATAAAAACTACATAGAATATCTTATATATCATTTAAAATTTAATGTTAGTATGGTAGACAATTTTATATCCTGATTTCTAAACTTTTATGGTCAGCATTTCCCCAAGTTGCTGTACAATTTTTATTTTATTTTTTAATTTTATTTAAGGAGAAAAAGAAAAAAAAAGCACAGAAAGGGTACAAGTTATACAGATTCACAGAAAAAAACAAACAGTAGGAAATCACTAGTTAATGGATTACATTTTGTCATCTTAGAAATAATTGTTCAAGTTACAAAATTAAAGCTTATAAAGTGGACATTCCAACAGTGAGACTGCAAACAGTTCTGTTCAATGACCCAACAAAACTCAGTAATATCATTATCTATCTTATACACTTAAATATACATGTAGTTATATTGTTTAGAGCACTTTCTTTTCCTCTCTTTTGTATAATGACAATTACACATTTTGGGTTTTGTTGCTCCCACAGTTCTTATTACTTTTTTGGAAGAGAGTAGAACCAAAAGTGACATAACATAACAGTCAGTAAAATCAAAAGGGTGGACGTAATAGATAATGTAAAAGCATAATACTAGGTGATCAACAATGGTTACCATAATGCCTCCCGCTATCTTTAATAGAATTGCCTATATCATTAGTTATAATAAAATTTGAACAAAACAGTAAAGAACAAAACCAACAAAACCAAAACATTGGAGACATTATAGGTCTTCAAAAGTAAATAATAGTCAACCAGAATGGGCGTCATAATGAATCCCACTATCTTCAAAACCCTTGGGTACTTGAGGAGGGTGACGGGCGGTGTGTACGTGCTTCATGGCCTAGTTCAATCAAGCTCTCTATTCTTGATTTACTACTAAATCCTCCTTAGATCTTTGAATTTCATAAAGACTTGCGTTTGTTGTTCTTGGGTCACAGCTGTTGCCTAAACTTTCGAACCTGATACTATCAAGCAAAACAGAATAGAAGAACATCAGTCAAAACAAGATGGTGAGAGCAATACAGGGCTTTAAATCAAGATAATGGAAAGTCAGAGTGGGTTACTATAATATATCCTGCTATTTTTTAATTTATTTTTCCCTTAATTAAAAGGATAAAAAAAGTAAATAATAAAATTGAGATAAAAGAGGGCATAACAGCAAATCAGCGCAGATCAAAACATAACCATTTAAGCAAAATAGTGTTTCACCACAAGATTATCCCGACATAAAAGTAGTTACCATATTGTCTCTTTCCTTGAAATCTTTGAGTATAACTTCGTATACTGTAGCATCAAATATATCAAAACAATGTAAAACCATTTAAGAGAATGACAGTATTACAGGATATTTAGAATCAACTAACAGAAAATGAACAATGGTTTCTGTATAATCTCCTTGTCTATAAAAGGTTTTACTTATACTATCATATATAATAAAATCCAATAAGATGCCACCTGTTTAGACCAATGGAGATAGAAGAACAAAAGCTTGATAAGACTTCAAAACAAGATGATACTAAATCAGTATTACCTCTTAAGACGTCATTTTCTCCAAAATAGCTGTTCCTATCATCCAATCTTCTCTGCCTCATTTCTGTTGAATTCTTTTTCTGTCATTAGTTGTCAGTTTGTCTTCTTCATTCTGTTTTCTGCTCCATTCATTGTGGCCTCTCTGCCGTTACTTCTGGATTTTTCGTATTTTTCTTTTTTAGAATATCTTGTAGTATTCTCTGTAGAGTTGAATTGGTGTTTGCAAATTCCCCTAGTTCCTCTTTATCCTGGAAGCACCTTGTTTTTCCATCAATTTCCAGGGATAGTTGTGCAGGATATATCAATCTTGGCTGGAGATTATTATCTTTCAAAGCTTGAATTATTTCCCCCCACGCTCTTCGTGATTTGATGGTTTGTGCCAGAAGTCTGCTATAATTCTGATGGGTGTTCCCTTGTAAGTGATCTGTTTCTTGTCTCTGATGGCTTTTAGTATTCTGTTCTTGTATTGGATTTCTGGAATTTTAATTATTATATGCCTGGGTGTTGCTCTGTTTGGGTTGTAGGTGGCTGGGGTCCTGTATGCTTCATACAACTGAGTATCTTTACCTTTTGCTAAATTAGGAAAATTCTCCTGGATTATTTCTGTGAGTAGCTTTTGTAGTTCATTTGTTTGTGTCCCTACTTCTTCTTTTATGTTCTTAATTCTTAAGTTATAGACCCTCTTATCATCTTCTAGTCTTTGTAATGTTGCTGTTTGTTTCTTTGTTATTTTTAAGAAGTTTTTCATTTCATGCTCCCATATTACAACTCTGCCCTCCAGTTCAGATAATCTGTCCTTAGTTTCTTTCAAGCTGTTATGCCAGTTTTCGATAGACTTTTTAGTTTCCTGGTAGTCTCTTTGAACCTGCTTCACTTATTCTATGCTCTCTCTATTTTCTCCGTTAAACAATTCTCCCCTCTTTTTGTGTTCTTCCATTCCACCATCTGTTTTTTCTTGGGTGGTGCTTAGCATTTCTCTAACTATTCTGCTTATGTCTAGCTTCAGGTCATTAATAACTTCATTCCTGAACTTGTCTATGAGGCCCTCGAGATAGCGCTTTATGTCTATTGGTGCTGTGTCTGCTGTTGTCTCTTTCTCAGGATTGGGGGCCGAGGACCCTTTCTTGTTGCTGCCTCTTCCCATATTCTTTGTTCCTTATATATGCAAGCGTATATAGGAGGCCCAGCTTCCTTCCCTGTCAGCCACTGTCTGATTGAATTGTGTTCCCACCCACCGCAGCACACCAGGAAGTTGCAGACCAGGCAGCCTATGCGGGGCCCACCCCTCCAGGTCAATCTACCTTCAGGAGCTGGGACCTGGGCTATGCTAGCCACTGGGTGTCAGCCAGCAGCGTCACGTGGGCTAGGCACTTCTCACCAATCCTGCTTGAGAGGGGGATACATGACTGAAGTCACTGCAGCTCCCTGTTCCCGCAAGTCTGTCCGGTCCCAGAATGTCCTCTGTTGGAGTCTCCTGGACCGTGGAAGAGTCCCAGTTTTCCCTCACTCACCGGAGGTGGATGCATGGCTCCCCGCCCGTCCGCTCTCAACTCCCGTTCACCCATTCTCGTTCTCAGAGCTTCTGCGCGTCTTTCTCCCTGCCGAGCTGATGCAGACACAGTGGCGGTGGTGGCGGCGGGAAACCCAAATCGCGGCTTCCAATGGCACAGGCTCCAGCTTCCACGCTGAGGCTTTATCTGTTCCTGTTATAGCACCAGGATTACATTGCCAGTTGGTTTCTCTCAGCCCAGTTCATTCTTGGGTCACCGGGGCATATCTCCTCTTGCTTATGATTCCTTACTCAGCACCATTCCTGAATTCTAAGCTGGGTATTTCAGAGAGCCTCCGTAGCTGCTGCTATTTGTCCACCATGTTCTCCCGGAATGCTGTACGATTTTTAGAATTCCAATTTTAATGGCCGTGTAACATACTTTCCAATAATTCAACATAAGCTAGATACTATTTGTCTTGTCAATTAAATTTTGTTTGAAGTTTTTGATAATTTTATTCTAGTGGAGATCTTTGTGCGTATATTTCTTTTGAATTATTTCACTAAATGATCAGAGTTAGACATTGGGTTGTAGAAACTCTGGGCCATCGTGTGATCGTGGTTTTATGATCCCAGCATCAGCTGCTTTGAGTGTGAGGGTTGTTAAAAATCTGTGCAAAGGGTTCCTCACAGTTTTTCTTTTCTGCAGGGATCAGCACTAGCCAAAGCTCTCTCACTTTGGTCATGGGGCTGGGCAGGGCAGCTCTGGTAACCACTCTCACTTTCTCAGCTGCCTATGGACGTGCGAGAAGAGATGACAAGGAGGGCCATCGCCACAATCACACGCCTTATGGAGAAGCCACGGAAAAGGAATGCAGAGGACAACACTCGGGAGGCCGGTGCCCCTGGGGTCACCTACACTGAGGTGCTGGATCACCTGCAGAAGTCGCTTGCCCACCTGGGGACGCTGGGCCACAGCTTCATCCTTGAGCTGCAGAAGAGTGAGCAGGTAAGACCTCAGCAGACCTCAGCCCATGCGCCACCCTGCCAGCTGTGTCTCTCAGACCCCTTCCCTGTTTTCCAGTGCCAGGGTCAACCTTGCTCCTGAGCCACCCAGCTGACACACAGTCTTCAGGTGCTTTAGATCCCTAGTGGTAGTGACATTTTTTATAGGGTTTTCAGATCACAGATACTCATGAAAATTGCCTGAAGCCTCTCTCCTTTACTTCTATTTTCACTTGTCCATTCACTTTTAATTCTTTCTAAAGGAATCTGGGAGTGCTTAGGGCAGATGATACCCAGGACACAAAGGAAGAGATATGCTGAGTGTGATCCCAGCACTGACGAGGCTGAGGCAAAAGGATTGCTGTGAGTTCAGGGAAAGCCTGCACTAAATAACAAGACCCTGCCTCAAAAAGAATATCTCCTGTCTGGCAGGAATATCTCCTCTCTGGAATGAGCACTTTTTGTCCACGCAGGCTGCTTGAGGCGCATCGCTACACACCAGTGTGCTGAGCTAGGAAGACCCGAGTCAGACATGGCCACGTCTGCTGTTACCAAGTGTGCATGTGTTCGTGTGCTGTCTGAACTCTGAGGGATCATTCCACAGGGAGTCTCTATCCAACACACCCACATGGATATTTACAGATACATAACTGTAGTTTATATTTTCATTTAAGCATTAATGTCAGTAATATGTATTTTTAACTATGTGTTAACATTTTTATCATTATGTCTGTTGTGTGTTGCAGCAGACACGTGAACACATCTATCTGGCAGGTGATTTTAACTGGTATTAGGGTAGGGCTTATATTATCGGCATCCTGAACAGTCACATGAGGGTGTACTTTCTGGCTGGATCCTATTTTTGGGCAAATGTGGTGCATATCTGTGGCACAGGGGTGACTGTGTGAAGTTCCTCCTTCCCAAGTTGTGCTCCACACATGCTTGGTGCAGAGTCCTGACCTCTGGCTTGTCACCTGTCAGTTAATGTTCACCGTGCTGCCTGTCATGGTCCCTCCTGACCTCACCCCTGCTTCACACACATGTAAGACCAGACCCCAGAGACCAGCTCTCCCGATGCATGGTAAAGCAGGGATTTGCACCCACACCTGGTGCTGAGCCTGTGTCCTGGATGTACTATGGTGGCTGTCATGTTTGCGTGGTGACCTACACATGTAGCAAAGTGAACACACACATGCACACAGTGGATCCTGACTGGGTGGCCAACACTGGCTCCTGTGTCTTCCAGGTGGCCCTGCAGAGGTACCGTGAGCTGTATGACCTGTCCCGCTCAGAAGAGGAGGCGCTCTGCAGTCTGGCCGTGAGCATGTGTTTGGATGGCCAGCCGCTGGCCATGATTCAGCAGCTGCTTGAGGTGGCAGTCGGGCCTCGGGACACAACCCTCAAGGATGTTGTGCGAAGTGCCATTGTGAAAATAATGTCTACACTGAGGTAAGCTCTAAAGCAACCACTGAGAAAAGCTGGGGTCCTGTTTGCGTGTCGTGATGGAGACCTCATGGTCGTCAGAACAGTAGAGCAAGGTCCAGGAAGGAGAAGCAGTGGGCATTGTCCAGTACTTGACAAGGTTATTTTCAGGTTCCTCAAAGGCCTCGGGTCTTAAAATACCTTGGAAGAGGAGAGCCCTGGGCTGTCACGGCCTCTGAGACAAAGCCACCTTCCTTTCAGTCAGCCTCCTCTCTCCCTTGAGGCCACTGGTGGAGGGAAGGCACAGGTGCAGGGAGCCAGCGGACCTCCCTTGCCTGTTCCAGTTTCTTTCCTGGGACAGAGCAGGGGAAGCGACCAGAAGTCCCTGGGCTTGGAAGAGGTCGATGGCTATGTCTGGGGCTCAGCTTACCTGCAGCCAGCAGGAGATCTGCCCTGGCCCCTCTGCTGGAAGCTCCGAGGGTTAGGACAGAAGGACGTGAGTCCCCCAGGGGAAAAGGCATCATCACGCTGTGAGTAATGTGACTGGACTCCAAGAATCTACTGCATTTAATTCTCCCTTAAGGTTCTTTGTCCCCTATATTATTCTTGGGGAGCTTCATGATGAAATGCACATCAGTCTTCTGCAGCCGAGCCGAAATCAGATGGGCCTTTCTCAGCCTCGTTACCATAGCGTCATACTTTCTGCCTTAGTGCTCTGAACCTGCTGGTGATTTTGCATACAAGGACAGGCCTCAGACATGATAGTAACAGTGCCCCACTAAGAAAGCTTTGCCCTGCCGGTAGCTGGATCTGGTATTTGTTGCTGTCTTGAGAGTCGCTCTGTGGCATGTGCTAATGGGAGCTTGCCTGTCACATTTCCTGCCCTTTAACTTGTGGCTGTCTTTACTGTTTCTAAATCAGGCCTTAGATGGATTTTGCAAAAGTAAACATCAGAGTTTTGATGATTCCAGTTTGTTTCCTAAATACTGGACATTTGCATGAAAAATTAAAACAGTGTAGTGCCGATAGTGAACCCATGAAATAACCGATGCTTTTCTCCGTCCCTGCCTGCCTCCTGGCAGGGGCTTAGTACTGGTCTGGTAAGGTCTGTATTTGGCAGGTGCCGACTTGAGTCTGAGCAGGGAAAAGACGGTGCTGGAAGATCTCAACTGCCCTTTATCAGAGGAAAGGAAAGCAAAGCACTCCTGACAGCCGACCTTTACTTGCTGGAAGTCAGTGAGGCATGGGCCTCATCCAATCAGCACGGCCTCAAATTCATACTAGAAAGCACCCGCCTTCTGCATCTGGAATTTGGTAGACATGAGCGTGATGCAGTGCTGGTTCCTGTGGTGTATGACACAGGCCTGGTACCTAGGAAGTCACAAATAAATAGATTTCTAAAAAGAGTGTGGCTGGTACAGTCAGGTTGCACTGTCTCGAATGCCCAACTCCTCAGATGGTCACTGCTTCGTGAGGGCCTTGGATGACTGTGTGCAAGCAGGTCTTGCCATTATCAGCAGGAAGGACTGTTGGAGATAGGGAGAGAAGGCTTCTATTCCATACCCTCAGCATCTCCTCCAGGCTCAGCCTTCAGTAGACACTGTACAAGTAGCTGCAAGCAGGCAGTGTAGACCAGGCAGGCCCCAGCTGGTTCGCCTGCAGTGTGATTGTACAATGTGCTGCTGGGGCCTGAGCCAGTGTCCTGACTCAGGTCCCTCTTTCTTTCCACAGTGGAGGTGGTGCCGACCTTGGTGGGACTGGAGACCCGCTTCAGGTCCTGGAAGGCGTGGTGGCAGCTGTGCATGCCAGCGTGGATGCCGGGTAAGGCAGGTGCCTCTCTGGGAACCAGATCTCTAGGCCTCCAGGCTGAGTAACATGGGCAGTGTTCTGGAGACCAGGGCTGAGGGCATCCTGGGGTTTCTGTGCATCTGGAGCCTGCGCCCCCAGCTCCATGTTGGTCCTTGGCTCAAGCAGGTCCCACTCCCCCAGTTGCACAGCATCCTCTATCACAAGAAGGCCCAGAGAGAAAACTGCTTTGAGCTTTTAGAAAAGATCCTCATCTATGAGTTAACTGCATTAGCTCAAAAGTTTCTAGAGTATGTGTATTATGTGTAGTGTAAAAAGAAAGCTTTTTGGACCAGAGATATAGCTTAGCGGCACAGTGCCTGCCTGGCAAGCGTGTGGTTGTGAGTTTCCATTCCTGGTACAAAATAAATAAATAAATACAATAAATTTTAAAACATAAAATATAATAATTTAAAAAAAACTTTATAAAAACTGGCTGTGATGGCGCAGGTCTGTAAACCCAGCACTCAAGAGGCTCTGGCAGGAGGATCAAAAATTCAAGGCCAGCTTGAGTTGAGTAGCTATGTCTCAAAACACCAAAAAAACCCAAACTGAAAACAAACAACCTGCCATTGCACACTCCCAAGGGTTCACCACCACTGCCTTAGGAAGTGTCCCCCTCGCCCAAGCCCCAGAGTAGTGAGGGGAGCTGCAGGGTGGGGACCTCTGTAGCCTTTGATGGCTGAAGTTCAGGCCAAGGTTACAGGCTACAGCCTGCTGCTACACTTGCTCCTGCCCGCCTGGATCCTCAGATCAGAGCTCCAGCCCCTTCCTCCTGCAGCCAGGAGAGGCCAGGAGGATGGGCGGCCTCCCCTGGGCTCCTGCCCCAAGAGTGGTCTCATTCGATGATGCTGATAATGGTGACTCTGCTGCGGATGAGGCTGACCATGGTGGCCGCTGTCCACGGAGCGTGTGCTCTTTACTCACACTGCACCACGTGCTTTGTCTACATCACCTACAGAGTGGGACAGGGTCAGCCTTGACTCTGCCCAGAGTTTAGGGAGCCCAGTTAGGGCTCTCCGTCCCCCCAGCTGTCTGGTCACCTTGAGAGTAGTGGAACCCAGCAGACATTTATGCCTTCTGTGTTTCTTGTACACTATTCCTTCCAATTTTTGATAAATATTAACACATGTCTTTGTAAATTTATAAGTTTTTCAGCCAGTTCTCTGAATTTTATAATTTCCTTTATTCCTGAATGCAGTGAATAGTTTTTTCATTTAAATGGCCATAAAATAGCACTCGATTGGTGTATAACATAATATATGCTAAGAGCCATTCTCAGGGGCATTGCAGAATTTTAGTCTTAGGGCCAGGGATTTAGCTTAGTGGCGTAAGTACCTGCCTGGTGAGTACAAGGCCATGAGTTTGATACCTGGTACCAAAAATAAATAAATAAATAAATAAAAAAGAATTTTAGTCTTCACTGGAGTGTGATTGTACAATGTGCTGCTGGGGCCTGAGCCAGTGTCCTGACAGCCGACCTTTACCTGCTGGAAGTCAGTGAGGCATGCGCATGAGGCATGAGGTATTCTGTTAGCCTAGTGTAGGAATTTGGCTTCAGGTAAGTTAGCCTGGGACTCAGTTTAGGCGATTTCCTGTAGGTAGCCCTGTGATGATGTGGGTACAGCCACATGGGGGGACAGTGCTTTAGCTGGGTCCTGAGATGTTGTCAAAGGGATTTCCGGGGTAGAGGGAAGGAGTCTGGATGCAGTGCACTGGGCCCTTCCTTGAGGATCTTTAGACTGTGCTCCTGTCACAGCCAGACACTTGTATTTTACTTTTAGAGTGGTATAAAATTGGAAGCTCCAGCCATTGGCTGAGCCCTAATCCACACCCCACGAGCATGGGCTTTGGGTCACAGGGTGTCGCCTACTGCACCTGCTTGTGGGGGTCTCTGTTCTCCCTGGGGTGGGGCCTGTGGCGGCTGATGGCTTCAGTGATGGGATGTATAAAATTACTGGGGAATAAGCTCCACTATTTATGAGGACATCAGGGTAGATATTCGTTATCTATGTGGTTGATATAACTCATTTTGATAGGGTACTGTGTAAAACCACACTCATTTACACAGTTGTTAAATGCCTAATGTGGTGGCTGGAAGCCTTTTAAAAACCTGAAGTTTTCCTCTCAACAGGACAAGAATAAAGTCATACAGTAAGCAGGTATCCAGTCATTCAAGCTCTAGGTGAGACATTGAGACTTTCTCTTTCCCCTCACCATCGTCCCGCAGGGAGCAGCTGGTGGCCCCCGAGGACCTGCTGGAGTGGCTGCGGCCCTTCTGTGCAGATGACACCCTGCCCGTGCAGCCTCGCGTCCGTGTGCTGCAGGTCTTGGAGCAGTCCTGCCACCTGACAGAGGAGGACAGCAGGCTCCTGGTGTTCTTCCGAACAGAGGCCATCCTCAAGGCTGCCTGGCCTGGGAGGCAGGTGAGGAGGGGCGCACGCCCATCATCTCAGCGCTCTGGAAGGCTGAGGCAGGGAGATCACAAGCTCATGCCCCAGTCAGGGCAGAACGGCCTGGGCATGTAGCTCTGAGTGAAGTCCTGGGTTCAGTGCCAAACAGACAAAACACCGAAAGTTTCCTTGTTACCAGCAATTAGAGGTCAACACTGATCAGAGGTTAGTACCTGAGTACCTGCAGTAAAGTTTCCTTTTTATGTTGGATCACACACCACACACATTTATGATTTTTATCGTTGTAGCAACTAGGACATTCACAAAATCCATTACCTGTGGTGACCAGCTTCACACTGTGCTGGGCACAAAGGACCTATCTTCCTTCTGGTGTCTTAGTAGATGCCGTGGGAATCACAATGCCGTGTCTTCTCTGTGCCACCCTTTGGCCCCTTTTGTTCTCCTGAAGGTTCTCCCCTACCCCTGCAGGCTTCAATGAAGCTTCCCATGACTTCTGTACATGGGAACTTAATGTTCTCTTCTATCATGATAGCTCAGGAGTGGGAGGATGGACTTCCTTCTGAACCCCGCGAGTCCTATGCGCAGAGCTTGAATACTTGTCATCAGAGGAATTGGAACACTTGTTCTTCAAGGAATGAAAGGCTATGGTTGTTGAAATCTGGCTTATATTACAAACAGTTGCACCTTACGGACAGTGCTATGGCTCGTGTCTAGATACCCCCTGCTACAGCCTCAGGCACTTGTACGTAGGGCTTTTCAGGGATGGCTGGATCTGGGGTGCATGAATACTGATGAAGGGTGTGTGATAATTAAATTAGTGTTCTAATTGGTTTACCAGAGTTCTGTGGATGATGGTAGCCCCACAGGGTTGGGGGTGGCGTCAACCCATAGGCTTGCAGCCTGGATGGAATAAAAGGGAAAGGGAGGCAGGCTGCCTGCTGTCCTGCCTGCCCTGCCACAGAGTGTTTCCTCTCTGTGATGCCCCTCTGCCATGCCACCTGCTTGAGAGCCAGCCCAGTATGAACTGAAACCTCTGCGGAGTATGAGCTGACCTTTGTGCATGCTGGGTATTTTGTCTTAACAATGAGAAAAGTAACTAAGACTGACAAGATCCAAGAGCTGGCACCCTGAGTCAAGTGCTTCAGCACCCATACTTACCTTCAGCTGTGTTTCCTTCTATGAAGTAAAATAGGTGAATACTATTTTATTCTTCAGAGCTGCAGTAACTGAGAGTCTAAAAAAGATGGGTTTATCAACAATTGTTTAGTCTTACAAGATTGTGGAAATGAAGTATGATGAAAGAGCCACCGCCATGTAAAATACACTCTCACCAAGTGCCATATCCAGGCTCAAGAGGGCACTCAGGGCCCCATTAAGGAGCAGCCTGAGAACATGGATGCCACAGGCTATAGTGTAAAGCAAAATGCACGTGCTTAGAAGAGGGAGCGTGCACACTGACCCTGTCTCTGGGGCAAGCCTCCACTCTCCCACTTCAAAGCTCCTGGTCTGCACCTTGAGGGGGTCGAACTCTATCACACTGGGAGCCCTCTGCAGACAGGCTCACTTTCCTCTTCCCTGAGCACTGGAGCCAGCCAGGACCACCAGGCTGGTGTCTTAGTGTGTGTTATATAGCCCTGAGGACGGAAAACAGGAGGAGCCAGTGGAAGCTGGGAAAAAGCAGCGTCTTATGTGTTACATTAAAGCTCTGGAATACACACTTGACCCCTCGGCCACCATTCCTTCTTTTAAGCTTTTTGCCACATTCCAATTGCTTGAAGAACAGGTTGGTAGTTTGCTGTGATCTCAATGGTTTCTGAATATTCCTGAGATTATAGTTTCTCCATAGCTTCCCTTTTGCCCGAAACAGGGTTTAAGGTGGCTGAGCCTGTATTACAGAGCCTCCTTTTTTGTGCACTTTCTAAACTGTCTGGGCTTTGTCGCCAGCACAGACCATCTTGCTCATTCGCCCGGTCCCCCAGTCCACATCAACTCCTCATTTCACCAGGGTGTTCTTGTGAACTAAACTTTCAGACTCCAGAAAGTCTATCTCCAGGTGTCTCAGAGACTGGGGGAAAGTGACCTCACCCCCTCATCCTTCGTGTTCCCCTCTCCTGCTTTCCCCTCATGCAGCAGTGAGCGCATGCCAGCAGCTGCTGAGTAGGGTTTCTTCCATGTTTGCCAGCAGAGGTCGGAACACTTCGGGCTGGCTTCATCTCTGATCTTCTCCAAGAAACAGATATGCGAGTGTCTCCCTTCCTGCCTTAGAAATAAGGCATCCTGTGTCCACCTGACATTGCTGGTTCAAATCTCCTTTGGAGGACAAGTGAATTAGATGCAGAACTTGGTCCTGTTCTTGACCTGGTTTCTTGCTTCTTGGAAAATGAGGGCAGGAAAACCGAGGTTTCAGAATGGAAACACCAACAGCTCCTAGGGCATTAGAGAACCACACATGAAGTTCAGAGGCTCTCCTGAATTGTTACTTCCCAGAACATTTCTCAAAGCAGTGGAGAGATCAGGATGCTGGCGGACGATGTCCCTCTGTGTCTCCAGCAGTGCTGTAGCTACAGGACCCTGAGGATGCACCCACGGTGTGCAGGGCTTTGTGGTGAGGTTGAGGCCCTCGATTGAGGGAGGCAGGCGCCCCCACAGCCCGCACTTGCACTCTTCCCAGTGCCAAGAGTTCTGCAGCGACTGGTCTCTCACCCTCCGCACCTTGCCCTACCTCTTTGGTAGTGTTCAGGGCAGAGAGGTTTCCTATTATGCAGAGATGGGAATAGATAATGATTTTGTAATGTTCGGTCCCCGGGAGTGTGGCCTGTGATCTTCCCCATGGCAGCGATCCTCTTAGGACTCCATACTTAATTATCCTCCTGTGGCAACCATGTGGCCACAGATCCCCCGCTGGGAGAAGCCAGCCAGCTGCTGCAGGACCCAAGCTTTGAGGAGAGGAGGCAGTATCCCGCCTTCTAGAGATTGAGAATCAAAAATCCAGGTGCACTTATTTTTCAGCAGTGAACATTATTATCCCAGAAATGTCCCCAACACAGGGCAGAGGCTGGGACTGGAAGCAGGGAATGCACCCTGTGCTAGTACTTAACTGCAGTTTATCTGCAATTTTCAGCCTTAGTAATTTTTTAGTTGACCAGTGCATAATGCATATGGGCCAAAGTACTGATGTTTCCACTGAAAACTTCTGGCCTTGGCACCCGCTGTGACCCTCAGTCTTACGTGAAAGGGAACATGTGACTTAGCATCTCGCCTTTAGGATTCCCCTGGGTCTGGCCTTGAGTTGAAGTGGCCCTGCACCTCAGGTGCAGCTACAAGGCTCGCTGCACTCCAGAGCCTCTGTGTGCACAGCCACTGGTTTGTGTGCCCAAACTCTGCCAGTGTGCACCTTGGGCAGTTGGCCCCCGCCCTCCGGAGTGAAGCAAAAGTTCAGTTTGCACAGCCGTGTTTAGCTCTTTAGAAATAACTCACTGTTGCCTAAATGTCTTCAAAGCTAGGACTCATGGGCGTGATTTGTGCAAACAAATATAGGGGAACATTTGATGTTAAGAATGTGCAGGCACACATGTGATGTACCCCAAGACACTGAAATCATGCCATCCTGGAACAAAAAGAGACTTTCAGAAGTTTCCTGGTTCTGTCATAAAGAAGGACAAGCTTGAGATTTTATGAGTAAATGGATACAATTGGAGATCATACTCATAAGTGAAATAAATCAGAAATGCATATATAAACATCATATTATCTCACTAGTGTGAGACACTGTAGGAAACAATATATGGCTATATATATATATATATATATATATATATATATATAAAATATAGTTAGGATAGCCATTTATATTCTTCCATTAGAATATAAATTCACTAAGAACAGAGATCTCAGAGATGGTCAGTAAGTATTTGTTGACTAAATGAATACTAATCTTTAGATAGTTGCCCAAGGTCACTCTTGAATGGCAAGGCCAAGAAATGTGCCTGCTGCTGCTAATGGAGGGTGAACACTGCGCCCTGTGTGGGTGGAGGGACAGATGACAGCAAGGATGGGTGCTGAAGGAGGTCCCTCCAGAGGGTCTGGCATGGATGCACATGGCTGCGTTTGTGCTCGGCGCTTTGCTGGCAGTGACTTGTGGTCAGCTCCTGAGGAAGCAGGTGGATCCAAGCTTGTGTGTCCCAACTCGAGCAAGATGTGAAGGTCTGAAACACAGCCTGGGCCTCTCCTTTCCTCCCTAAGTTGCTATCCTCACTGGGCTTGCAAACTCTGGAGGTTGCCGACTCTATGAACTATGTTCTTGCTTTTCTTTTCTTTTTTTCTTTATTTTTTTATTATTTAAAGAAAGACAAAACAAAACAGAAAATGGGCAGAAATAGTATATACTTTCAAAGAAAAGAAATAAACAGTAATAAATCACTAGTTGATATATACATATTGTCCCCCCACAAATAGTTGTTCAAGATACAAAAGTGGAACATATAAATGGGAATTCAACCAGGGAAACTGCAAACAGTTCTGTTCAGCTATCCAACAAAAGCTAAGTAATATGGCTATCAATCCTATACACTTAGACATGTACGCATTTATCCATATCTTCATTTATGTTGAGACCTACCTAAACTTACTAGATTAAAATCCTTTTGAACAAAGATTAATCATATTGCTGGATTTCACATCATAACACTCCGGAATCAGCACTGGGTACTGCAGTGCCCCTTTCTTTCCTTCAAAGTATTTATTCATTTCATCATGTGTCATAAGATCAGTTCTCATAAACTGTTTATAGGTTTTATGCAAGCATGAGTCTTAACATGTATTTCTATCCTTTCTATATTAGAGGGAGAAACAGAACAAAGCAGGACAGAACTAAACATATTCCTATAGACACATAAAACTAAAAAGATATAAAACTGCTGTATAAGGAGTTCTACCATGGTCACTGTGCAGTTTCTTGTTATCATCAATGGAATTGACTATATCATCAGATAAAGTAAAATTGACTATATCAGTACATGGCAGAATTAACAGAAATACAACTTTGTAGATAGTGTAGAGCTATAAAACCAGGTAGTAATCAAATCAAAATGCATATCATAGTGAATCATTGTCATTTTCAGTATAGTTATTTATACTCCTCAACTTGATACCAGCAACCTAACAGTTTTGAATAAAATCTGTCAATAATAAGCAGCAATCAAGTCAGATTTAACTAAGATCAGTCATGATGCAACAGTATAAGTCATACAGGGATCCTGATTGAGTTAATAGGAAATTAAAGATGGCCACTGTGCTATGTCCTGATATCTTCGGAACAGCTGTCTGTGCCCTCAGATCCAGTGCTTGTATACAAACTAGGATGGAACAAGTTTCATCCAAGTAGAGTGGTGCGAGTAATAAGAGTTTTAATTCCTGATATACTATTAGCTTATATCTTCTGCTTTTTTTTTTTTTTTTTTTTTTGTCTTTTTTCCTTTTTATCGGTAACGGGGATCGAACTCACGACTGCCTGCTTGCAAGGCAGGCACTTATGCCGCTGAGCTAAATCCCCAGCCCCTATATGTTCTGTTATTTTTTTTAAAAGACTATTCCTCCCCTTTCACTCCCCCAGGATGAACTGTGTATTTTTGGGTCTCCCCAACACTCACGGTTTTATATTGGGGGGCAACCTGCTATTTACCTAAGTGTTTCCGAACTCTCTCACTCCTGGACTGAATTTCTAGTTATATTTCTTAATTTATTAAAGCCTGTCTATTCAACCTATCCATAAATACTGGTCCAGTTACCCCTATTACTCTCTGGTTCCCTATCACATCGAGTTCTGTTTTCTCATATTTGATTTTGGTCCATATAACCTTCCAAGATAAAGAGGAACTGGGGGAATTCACAACCACCAATCCAACTCTACAGAAAATACTGCAGGACATTCTTTGCTTTTCTCTCTCCTTGTTTCTCCATTAATTTCTAGGGACAATTGTGCAGGATATATCAATCTTGGCTGGGGGTTATTGTCTTTCAAGGCTTGGATTATTTTGTCCCACGTTCTTCTAGATTTGATGGTTTGTGCTGAGAAGAATGTTGTAATTCTGATGGGTTTTCCCTTGTAAGTGATCTGTTTCTTGTCTCTGACAGCTTTTAATATTCTGTTTTTATATTGGATTTCTGAACTCTTGATTATTATATGCCTGGGTGTAGTTCTGTTTTGATTGTAGGTGGCTGGAGTTCTGTATGCCTCATACTTCTGAGCATCTTTTCCTTTTCCTATGTTTGGGAAGTTTTCCTTAATTATTTTTGTGAATGGCCTTTGCAGTTCCTTTGTTTGTACCTCTGCTTCTTCATTCACCCTCCGCACCTTTATTCTTTATTCTTAAGTTATAGATCTTCTTGTCATCTTCTAGCCTTTATATTGTTAGTGCTTATTTCCTTGTTATTTTAAAGAAGTTTTTCCTTTTATGTTCCCACATTACAAACCTGTCCTCCAGTTCAGATTATCTATCCGTAATTTCTTTCAAGCTGTTACGCCACCTTTCAATAGAGTTTTTAGTTTCCTGGTAATCTCTTTGAACCTGCTTCATGTATTCTATGTTTTCTCTATTTTCTCCATCAAACAGTTCTCCCCTTTTTTTTTTGTTGTTCTTCCATTCTACCATCTGTTTTTTCTTGGGAGGTGCTTAGCATTTCTTTAATTACTCTATTTATATCTTGCTTTACTTGGTTAAATACTTCATTTTTGAACTCATCTATGAGGTCCTGAAGATATCGCTTTATGTCTATTGGTGCTGTGCCTGATATTGCATGTTTTCTGTCCTCATTCTCCTTTGCATTTACCTTTCCTGGGTCAATGTTCTCAGGACTGGGGACTGAGGACCCTTTCTTGTTGCTTTCTCTTCTCATATTTTTTATTCCTTCCATACAGGCGTATATAGGGGGCCCAGTTTCTTTCTTTGTCAGTTTCAGTTTGTCTGAAGTGTGATGGCTAGGTGGTTCTGCCCACTGCAGAGTACTAGGAGGTATAGACCCCAGCAGCCTATGTTGGGCCTGCTCCCACCCACCAGGTAAGTCAACCTGCTGAAGGCTTTACTGTATTAGGGTGTACTGCCAGGCCTATTGGGCCTCAGTCCATGGCGTCACAAGGTAAAGTGCTCCCCATCAATCCCGCTTTAGAAAAGAATATCTGACTGAAGTCACTGCAGCGGCCTGTTCCGGCCAGTCTGCCCGGTCCCAGAGTGTCATCTGTTGGAGCCTCATTGTCTGTGGAAGGGTTTTTATTCCCCTCACTCACCACTCAATGCAGGGTTCCCCGCCAGCTCTGCTCTCAATTTGGTTTGCCTATTCTGGCGCTAAGAGCGTTCCCATCTCCAGTGAGTTAAAACTAGCCAGCTCTCCTAGCTGCCCCAGTTCAGGCACGGCAGTGGCAGGGTATTTAAGCCATGAGTTCAAGCATCGGCACCAAGACTTTAGCTGTTCCAGTCATCGCACTGGGACTATATTTTTAATTGGTTTCTCTCAGCTTAGTTTGTTCCTGGGTTGGCAGGGTATATCTCCCTGTTTGGGACTCCCCATGCTGTATTATTTTTGGAATCTAAGTTGACTATCTCAGAGAGCCTCTGTAGCTGCTGTTAACTATCTGCTATCTTTTCCGGAGCCCGCTGTGTTCTTGCATTTCAACTTTGCCCTCTGCAGAAGAGGGGCCCAGATGCTTGCGTGGCTCATGTTCATTCCTGTTTATCATCCTCCCCGTGTCAGGTGTGGTCACTTGACTGTCTCCCTGACACCCCAGGGGTGTAGTGAAACTGGAGCTCCATCCCGGCAGGAAAAGAGGCTCAGCACTGGTGTCTGGAAAGTACTGGGCCCTATGAAGCTGGTTTCGTCTTCCTCTCTCCCGCTGTGGCTTTGTGGGGACCGGATGTGAGCAGACAGGAGAAGTCAGAGTTGGAGCATGCTGCCCCTGCCTTTCTGTGGGGCAGGGTCCCAGCCCTGCACTGCCTGAGTAGCCGCTACTCAGCTCAGTGTGGAGGGTGTGCCTGGTGATTTGCCTCCCCAGAGGGTCTTCAGGCCTGGATCCTGTGCCAGGAAGACAGCCAAGGCCTCTCACACCTTGGCCATGCAGCCCTGGGTTCATGCCCCAGCATCGCCACGCCACTCAGCTTGGAAAGCTTGTGGGGCCTTGCACCCTTCCTCTCCATGTCTCCAGAGAGGAAGTAGGGGCAGTTATAGGGCGGGGTAGATGAGACCACACCGCTGAAGCACTGATCCCAGCCTGGGTGAGGCCCTCCTGCTGGAGGCACCACACTGTGGGGATGCAGAGCCTTCATCCATGAAGTAGAAGCCTGATGGGGTTGGGCGCCAGGACATCCTGATTTGATTATCATCCTGCTCCATTGTCACTTTCGAGCCCTGCTGCTGGGACCTGGGGCAGTCAAGCCATTCCTCTGCTTAAAGTGTGGTCTCCAGCACAGTGGGGTCACCTCTTCCTACTCTTCCTCCTCCTCACTCAAGAGTCAGTGGGGCTGCACCTCCCTGGGGCCAGCTGAATGGTGGTCATCTCGTGAGCCACACAGGGACCAGTGACTCCACAGCAGTGTTGCTGAAATACTTCCTGGGACTGGAGCCGGAAGGACTGCAGAGTGAATGTTTGGAAGCGATCTGTAGGTCACATCCATTCCTCTTCCCCTTCTACTGTGACTTCCACATGTCTGTGTCCGTGTGTGCATCCCGGTTAGCACGAATTCCTCCTTGGTGCGGGCATCTGTGTACCTGGACATGGAGACTGTGTTTCAGAGAAGCTGCAGCGTGGGAGACTCGGACCCGGTTCACTTTCACACTGGGCACTGCTCTCCAGTGCAAAATACAAGGACCGCAGTGTGAAGGGAAACCATTCCTTACTCAGAGAGGACATGAGAGCTCTGTCCTTTGTTTCTGTTGCACTGGGAATGAAAATATGAAGGAAGATATTTTTATTTTGATTTATTAAAAAAAGTCACCTGACAGATGCACTTTAGTATAATCTTTGATTTCAAATTAGGAAAAATTTCTAGGCAACATGTGGGCTAACAATTTTCTCATTAGAAAATAATTTTGGATTAGAAATACAAAATAATTTTGGATTTCAACTTTTAAAAGTTCATTTAATGTGGAGTATAGTAAAATGTTACAACTTAAAACATTTCCATATTTGAACATGATAATATGCCAGGTATGAGGAATTCTTAATTTTTTTTTTTTTGAAGTCTAATTTTTAGTCGGAATTATTTTGGCAAAGAAAGTTAAAAGCCTTCCTATGGTTTGGTAAATCTAAACATTTTTTTTTTTTTTTGTCTTTTTTGAGACAGGGTCTCAGTGCAGTTCAGGCAGGCCTTGAGCTCACTTTGTAGCCCAAGCTGGTCTCGAACTCACAGCAATCTTCCTGCCTCAGCCTACCGAGTATTGGGATTATAGGCATGAGCCACCATGCCTGGCAAATCTAAACATTTTCAAGATAATTATTTAAAATTGAGTTAGACCTAGATTTTTAAACATTTTCTAATTCTTCGTGGTCCACCTTTGCAGTATACAGTGTGTCCATTTCTACATGGATTGTGGTGCTGCATGTAACACATCTCAGTTCCTTTTCTGTCCCTTCCTGTCCTGTCCCTCCTTCTCCATTTCTTGGTCCCCTTTCTGGTTGAGGAGGATCCATCTCCCTGTTATCTCTAATTTTGCTTTTTATTTATACTTCATGCTTCTCAAGGAAGGCCAACTCCAGGGTCCCGCCCAGGCCCTCCTCACCCTTGGTGTGCCTTTCCCCACAGGTGGACGTGGCTGACGTGGCGAGTGCAGAGCGGCGCTCTGCCCTGTTTGAAGAGCTGCTGGAGTGCAGCTGCTGCCAGGCCGAGTTCCAGCACCTGGCTGTGCTCTTGCAGGCCTGGCCCCCTCTGCAGAGTGACTGCACGTGAGTACCAAGGGAGGACAAGCCGGAGGCCGAGTGCCTCGGCAGGGACCTCACTTCTGAATCCAAAAACTTAGCTTCTTCAGGAAGCCACGGAGGACACCTTGGCCAGGGCTGTGCCATAGGGCCATGGGGCCGAGACCTCAGGAGCACAGAGCCCTGGGTCTCTTCATGCCCAGTCTCACTGACCGCCCCCTGTGGGCTGTGATAGTGGGTGCGAGCCCTGGGTCCCACCCTCAGCAGCAAGACAAGGCAGGAAACCAAGACAGAGACAGATAGCACACCCGCCAGCCCAGCAGTCTGGAGGCTGAGACAGGAAGATCACATGTACAAGGCCAGCCTGGGCAGTTCAGTGATTTCAAGGACAGTGTGCACTGTGTAACCCGACCCTGCCTCAAAAAAATAAAATCAAGATAAAAAGCAAGCTTATTGGCCTGGCACATTGGTGGTAGCACATCACTGTGGTCCCTGCTCCTGAGCTGGTGGAGGCTTGAGAATCGCTTAGAACCAGCCTGAGCCACAGATAGGAAGACTCTTTTAAAAATAAACAAAAAAAGCAACAAAAGCTGCTTTGATTTCTTCTCCTTCCTCAGAATTTCAGCGGGCAATTTCCTTTTCCCTGCAGCTCTTGGCAGGCTTAGCACATGACTCTTCTTTTAAACGCGGCCCTTGCCGCTTCCATGCCCAGGAGGCCTTGCGCCTCTCCTCACCTGTCTGTCTCGGCATCTTGGCTCTTGTGCATGAACAAGGACCCCTCGTTGAGATCACGCAAGGTTTTTTATGCATGACGTTACAGAGCCCTCCTTTATTGCTCCTCATGCCCCATCCCCTGCTCTGTGCGGGGGCTGCTGACTGCACAGAAGTGGAGGAGGCCAGGTCGGAGCAGCTGCTGGCCCCGTGTGGCCGCCTGGCTGCCTGGGCCCCGATAGACTGACTCCGCTCATCCTTCCCCTTCAGCACATGGCCTTCCTGACCACTGTGCAGTGACAGGCAGTGTTGTTCTTCCTCCTACTGTACTTCGAGGCCTCCTGCGAGTCACACATCCAACCCCTCAGCTCTGAGCGGGCAATCAGAATTCTGCCCAGGGTAGGAGCAGCCCCATTGTCCTATGCCCAGAGCCTAGCACTTCACTAAGAAGATGGCAGAGCCTTATAGACGTAAACCTGTTTAACAAATTAAATCAGGGCCACTCCTAGGGCCATTCGAGGTATGTGGACTGTGTGGGGTGCAGTCAGAGGGGAACAGAAAGGCTATGTTCGATCAGACACAGGACACCTCAGGAAGTGTGAGGTGTGGCCTGCTGATTGTCCACCACTTCCTCTGCTCAGGCCCTGCTTCCCCTGCTTCCCTGGCATGGAGGCTGCTAGGACCGACAGGAGCCCGGGTGGTTTCGTTTGTTTTCGTAGTACTGGGGTCAAACTCTGGGCCTTTGCATGGAGCCCCATCTCCAGCCCTTGTTTTAAAACAGGGTCTCATTTAGCTTCTAAGTTGCCCAGGGAGGGCTCAAACTTGCCATCCTCCTGCCTCAGCCTCCTAGAGTGCCAGGATTGCCTATGGGCACTACTACATCCAGCGCAAAGCTGGCACTGTGTGGTACCTAGCAAGGTGTGCCTGGTAGTAAAGGCACTTGGTGGAGTCACCAACAAGGGGGCTGAGTCATCCTGGCTTCCCTAGCATGGGGATGTTGCTGACGCCCAGCGAGCTGCTGTTTGCCCCTGCCCTGTGATGAGCCCAGGAGTGTGCCCATCCAGCCCTAGTGTAATTCCCCAGCCATGCTTGTTTGTGCACACAGTAGGACCCTTCCCCATTGCAAGGTCTCTGAGCGGGGCCAGAGCACTAATCCTCTGCTGTACCTGCACCCTCCTGTCAGGGCTGGTGTGATGGGAAACCCGTGGCTGAGACTGGCAACAGCGATGCTGATGCGGTGCCCGGCGCAGAGCAAGGAGGATGTAGGGAACGAGGTGCTGAGAATTTGTCGCTCTCTGCGCCTCTCTGAGCAGGCGCTGCCCGTGGAGGTGAGTGGGCCGGGGGCCGGCAGCCAGCATCTTTGCCACACAGGAATGGCTGACAGGCACCCAGCTCAAGCCGAGGCCGGTAAAGGCCCAGCAGGTAACAGGCAATGCAGGGAGCCAGGCAAGGCTGGCAGAGCTCTGCAGGGGGCACGGAATTCTCTGTGCTGTGGTCCTGCCTGGCTCAGCCTGTCCTTCACTCCTATCCCTGGACCTGAGGTCACCTGGTGCTTTGCTGAGTCTAAAGACTCTGAATTGCCAAGAGATACTTGATTCTGGCCAGTGAAGTGAGCAGACAGGAGCACTAGAGGAAAAGTTGAGTGTGGACTTGGGGTTCTGTTTGTGCCAAGCAGTAGTGGGGTTCAGAACAGCAGCAGCAGCAGCATCCTTGTCCCAAGAGCAGTACCTGGTGAACCTGGGGTGGACCCAGCACCCACAGTCAGGGTGCAGGGAGAGTGCTGTGCCACAGGCAGGTTGGCCTCCTCTCGGCGGAGGGTTCCCCTGTGCCTCCTTACACCAAGTCCTAAAGAGCAGGTAGTGATGAATTAGTTCTGGGGCTTAGGGCCGGTGCGCAAGTCATGCCTAGCACTCAGGACACCATGCTCCAGTCCAGCACCCAAAATTTTTAAAACAGTTCCACAGGTAATAGCCACCTCCTGGCAAGAGTGGCTGTGGCTGCAGTGTTGGATGGAGCGTGGGCAGACAGGTCCCTGCACTGGCACTGTGGGCCAGGCACAAAGTATCGCCAAGCCCCAGGGGAAGGTGGTGTGGTGGTGGCACCTATTATCTTGGAGGTTGAGGCAGAAGGATCACAAGTTGCAGGCCAGCCTGGGCAACTTAGTGACATAGGGTGAGCCTGTTATGAAATAAAAAATAAAAAAACTGGGGATGTAGCTCAGTGCGAAGGCCCTAGGTTTAATTCCCAGCACCAGAAAATGAAAAGCAAAAGCTAAGGGAGGGCAAGGTCACAAGCAGCAAGGCAGGACTGGGCAGCCAGGCCTGAGAGCTGTGCTCTGGAGCTTTGTCCTCCCGAGTGTTGGCTCCAGGTTTTAGCAACCCCCATGAAGAACCTGCAGGTCTCCCACCCTTGTGTGGAAGTCACACCTGGAACTGACCTCCTCATCCCGCTCCCTGGAACTGCAGAGCCAGGACAGCCAAGCTGGCAGGTGCAGAAAGACAGTAATGCAGGGAACTGCAGTGAGCGTGGCCTCCCGAGTCCTGATTGGAGGGCTGCTTCCCTGCGTCCTGTTTTATCTTCGAGCTATAATAATGTGAAGGGAGGACTGGAATTGTTCCTGATCTCCCGCTGCTGGTGGAGTAGCATGAGAGAAAGCTCAGCGTGTACGAGCCTCGAGCCTGCACTCTAACCTGGCCCCGCCCAGCCTCCTGTCCTGGGTCCCAGCACTGTGTTCCCCACCAAGGTCAGGCATCCCTGGTGGCCAGCTCAACCCTTCTCTGATACTTCTGTTGCACACATTGTGTTTTTGATACTCCTGTTGCAAAGGGCTGTCATTGTTACCTTCTTAAAAAGCCTGTTCTGGATCAGCACATTAAGCTTGTGAACAGAATTCGGTTGCCCTGTGGAGAGCCACCCATTTCACTGCTCCCACTAGACAGATTCCATGGAAGTGGACGTCTCAACCGGGCACCCTGACACCAGACCTGTAAATACAGTTGAAACGTTTTCTGATGATTTCTTTTGTGTCCGTGAGTGACAGGGATGCCGCCAGCCTTGCTGACAGTAGAACCTGCTTTGGTTACTGTCCTCTGGCCCCCAGAGCTGTGTCTGTGAACACCGATTCCCACACTCTCCCGTCCCCACAAAACAAGGGCCTGGGCAGGGCCTGCCGGGGCCAGGATCGGCTAGGAAATGAGTTCTAAGCCACCTGAATTGAGCACAGGGTGGTCGGGGTGTGTGTTACATGCATGTTCACAGTCTAGGATGTGGCAGAGCGGAAGTACTACCCTGCTGACCCTTTGTGTCCTGCAGGGTGTGAAGGAGCTGTGCCTGCTGCTGCGTGACCAGGCACTGCCACTGCTGTCCCTGAAGCTGCTGCTGGAGCAGCCGGAGCCTGAGCTGCACGCCCTGGCACAGGAGCAGGTCACCGCCATCATGCAGGTAGGGCCAGGTGAATACACGTGCTCGTGTGGTTGGGCTTCTTTCCAGGACTCCCTTCTCTCTCTCTCTCTTTTTTTTTTTTTTTTTAATTTTATTTAAGGAGGAAAAAAAAAAAACAGAAAAAGGGTACAAGTTATACACACTTTCAGAAAAAATAAACAGTAGGAAATCACTAGTTAATTATATATTGTCATCTTAGAAATAGTTGTTGAAGTTACAAAATTAAAGCATATAGAGGGGACTTTCAAACAGTGAGACTGTAAAAAACAGTTTTGTTCAATGATCCAACAAAACTCAGTAATATGGTTATCTATCTTATACACTTAAATATACATGCAGTTATATCTTTTAGAGAACTTTCTTTTCCTTTCTTTTGTACAATGACAATTACACATTTTGGGTTTTATTACTCCCACAGTTCTTATTACTTTTTTTTTTGAAGAAAGTAAAACCAAATGTGACATACCAGGACAGAGTCAGTCAAATCAAAAGGATGGACATAATACATAATGTAAAAACAAAATAAAAGGTGATCAACAATGGTTACCATTCTGACTCTTGCTATCTTAAGAAGAATTTCCTAAATCATCAGTTATAATAAAATTGAACAAAACAGTAAAGAATAAGACCAATAAAACCAAAACATTGGAGACATTAGAGGACTTCAAAAGAAGATAATAGTCAACCAGAATGGGCATCACAATGAATCTTATTGTCTTCATAGTTGTTGCCTATACTTTCAAACTTGGTACTATCAAGCATAATAGAATAGAGGAAAATCAGTCAAAACAAGATGGTGAGAGCAATACTGAGTTTCAAACCAAGTTAATAGGAAATCAAAGTGGGTTACTATAATATATCCTGCTATTTTTTATTTATTTTTCCCTTAATTAAAAGGATAAAAATGAAAAAGTAGATAATAAAAAGAGGGCATAACAACAAAACAGCCATTTAAACAAAATAGTGTTTCACCACAAGATAATCTCGACATAATAGTAGTTACCATATTGTCTCTTCCCTTAAAATCGTTGGGTATAACTTCGTATACTATAGCATCAAACGTATCAAGACAATGTAAAACCGTTCAAGAGAATGACAGTATTACAGGGTATTTAGAATCAACTAACAGAAAATGAACAATGGTTTCTGTATAATCTCCTTGTCTATAAAAGTTTTTGTTTATATTATCACATATAATAAAATCCAATAAGAAACAACACGTTAAAACCGATGGAGACAGAAGAACAAAAGCTTGATGGGACTTCAAAACAAGAGGATATTAAATCAGCACTACCTATTATGATATCTTGTTTTCTCCAAAATGGCTGTTCCTACCATCCAACCTTTTCTGCCTCATTTCTATTGAGCTCTTTTTCTGTCATTAGTTGTCAGTTTGTCCTGTTCATTTCGCTTTCTGCTCCATTCATTGTGGCCGCTCTGCCACTGTTTCTGGAATCTTGGTATTTTTCATTTTTAGAATATCCTGCAGTAATCTCTGTAGAGTTGAATTGGTGGTTGCAAATTCCCCTAGTTCCTCTTTATCTTGGAAGCACCTTGTTTTTCCATCAATTTCTATGGACAGATGTGCAGGATATATCAATCTTGGCTGGAGGTTATTATCTTTCAAAGCTTGAATTACTTCCCCCCACGCTCTTCGTGATTTGATGGTTTGTGCCGAGAAGTCTGCTGTAATTCTGATAGGTGTTCCTTGTAAGTGATGTTTCTTGTCTTTGACGGCTTTTAATATTCTGTTCTTATATTGGATTTCTGGACTCTTGATTATTATATGCCTGGGTGTAGTTCTGTTTGGGTTGTAGGTGGCTGGGGTCCTGTATGCCTCATACATCTGAATATCTTTACCTTTTGCTAAATTAGGAAATTCTCCTGGATTATTTCTGTGAATAGCTTTTGTAGTTCATTTGTTTGAGTCCCTACTTTTTCTTTATGTTCTTAATTCTTAAGTTATAGATCCTCTTATCATCTTCTAGCCTTTGTATTATTGCTGTTTGTTTTCTTGTTATTTTTAAGAAGTTTTTCATTTCATGCTCCCACCTTACAAATCTGCCCTCCAGTTCTGATAATCTATCCTTAGTTTCTTTCAAGCTGTTATGCCAGCTTTCAATAGAGTTTTTAGTTTCCTGGTAATCTCTTTGAATCTGCTTCACGTATTCTGTTTTCTCTATTTTGTCCATCAAACAATTCTCCCCTTTTTTTCTGTTCTTCCATTCCACCATCTGTTTTTTCTTGGGCGGTGCTTAGCATTTCTCTAACTATTCTACTTATTTCTTGCTTTATTTCATTAAATACTTCATTTTTGAACTCGTCTATGAGTCTCCAGAGATACCGCTTTATGTCTGTACGTGCCGTGTTTGATATTGCGTGTTTTCTCTCTTCATTCTCTTTTGCATTTACATTTCCTGCATCAGTGTTCTCAGGATTGGGGACTGAGGACCCTTTCTTGTTGCTCCCTTTTCCCATACTTTTTGTTCCTTCCATACAAGCGTATGTAGGAGGCCCAGTTTTTTTTTTCTCTCTCTCTTTGTCTGTTACAGTTTGTTTGAATCCGCCGGCCAGGTGTTCCCGCCCACTGCAGTGTACTAGGGAGACACAGACCTGGGCAGCCTCTGCTGGGCCCGCCCCTCCAGGTCAACTTACTGAATGCTTCACTGCTAGGGTGCACCGCCAGGCGCTAACCTACTGGATTTGGGCTAACCTACTGGATCTTAGTTCGTGGCGTCACCAGGCCAACCGCTCCCCACCATCCCGCTTGAGAGGGGAATATGCGACTAAAGTCACTGCAGGGCCCTGTTCCGGCTAGTCTGCTCGTTCCCAGAATGTCCTCTGTTGGAGCCTCCCAGTCTATGAAAGGGTCCCCATTTCTCTCACTCACTACAGGTCGATGCAGGGCTCCCTGCCAGTCCCGCTCTCAACACCGTTTGGTTCGCTGATTCCAGCTCTCAGAGCTTTCACACGTCTCTCTCCTGCCGTGCGGATTGGGACGCAGTATTGGCAACAGGAAATTCAAATCGTGGCTTCCAATGGCATGGGATCCAGTTTCCGCACTGAGATTTTATCTGTTCCTGTTATAGCATAAGGATTGCATTTCCAGTTGGTTTCTCTCAGCTTAGTTCGTTCCTGGGTCGGCAGGGTACATCTCCCCTCACGTAGGACTCCTCACACGGCACCGCTCCTGGATTCTAAACTGGTAATCTCAGAGAGTCTCCGTGGCTGCTGTTATTTGTCTGCCATGTTCTCCCGGAACTCCAGGACTCCCTTCTCAAAACAGCTTCACCTGCAGCGGTGGTACATGCCTGCACCCCAGCACAGGGAGGGAAGCTGAGGAGGGAGGATCGCTGTGAGTTTAAGGCCAGTTTAATCTAGAGAGGCCCTTCTAGACCTTGTTGGGGTCCATAAAAGTCCACATTTGTAATCTCATAGGCAGGTTACTGAATTTTAATGTTAATTCCACTCTACCACTTCCAGTGCGATTCATGGCGAGAATAAAAGCACTACAGCATCTTTATAGTCGTCAAGAGCCAAGGGTAGTAAGATGGATACCGGAAACAAAGGCCTCATCTCAGGGCCAAACCCAGGTTTCATTCATTCATGAAGAAGGGAGTGGCTGGGGGTGGGTGATGGTGAGAGTGATGGGAAGTGTGTGAGAGCTGTGAGGTGGGCTGGGTAGGAGGCCTGAGTCACCTCTGCAGTGTGCGGAGAGAAGCGTGTGCGGAAAGGGTCATCTGCAGAACACAGTTGAGGTCAGTGCTTCAGCTCTGATGTGCAGTCCTTTCTGCCCCGGGAAGTCACAGCCTCTTATCTTGAGGCCCGAAACCCGAGAGTGTGGAGTGTGGCTCTCCCTCCCGCCTGGCTCACACATGTTCCTTGGGATCTGTGGGACAGAGAAACACTGCACCATCCTTTGCTTCCAGAGCTACACATCAGCCCCTCCCCTGGAGGCATGTGTGCTGCTTAGGGCCAGTGAAGGGAAAGGGTAAATCCTAGCGGGCTCCACACTCATCCATACGCAGACACAGGGCTGGGCTCAGCCCAGACGGAGACCACTGTGCGTCTTTCAAGGAGAGCCATCTATGTGGTCCTCCATGTTGCCATGTGGAAAGAACTCAGTGTCCTCACCATCCCTGGCTTTCCTGCTGCTCTGAGCTTTGGCATCAGTCTGAGACGCCCATGGGCAGTGCTGGAGAAGTACTTGCAGTGATTATCACATCTGGCACAGAGCCCACGATCTCGGTCCTGAGTGAGGATTCGTGGAATGGCACCAGCAGCTCCAGGTCCAGCTTGGCCTCCTGTGGCATCCCTAACTTATACATGTTATTTGGGAGTTACAGGCAGGGCCGCACTGACCTGTCCCTTGATTTGGAGAGTACAGGTCAGCACCTTGGCCAGACTGATCTGCATTGCTTACAGCCAGTCAAGGAACAAAGAAAACCTAGCCAGCTCTTAGCCAACACAGAGACGACTGCTGTACTTACAAAGAGAGTCATCTGAGCGGTCTTCCACAAATCTACCCGGCGAGATCCTTTCTCAGGAAAAAAAAACAGAAAAAGAAAAAAGCCCAATAACTATCTGCAGAATCTATGAACACAGTGACTTCCTGTGCAAACCACGCGCCCATGTTTGTGTTATGAACACGTACTCTGCCACCCACGAGAAAGCTTTGGGCACTCAGAGCCCACATGGAGATAATGGTACTGCCCCTGCAGAGGTGTCTGCTTCCTCTAGGCTCCTTGTGGAGGACAGGTGCCACCGTGCTGCTCACCCAGTGTGCTTGGGCTGGGGATTGGCTGCTTCCCACCTCCGCCTGCTCCTGGCCATGTGTGTGCTGTCTGAAGGTCTGGGGACCCCAGGAGTGAGGGCAAGGGAAGGAAGCACTCTCACGCACCAAAAGGAGAGGCTACCAGGAGGCTGCGAGTACAGGACTGGCCAGGCACAGGGCCCCTGAGTCCAGTGCTGGGCAGCAGTCACGGAGGTGACCCAGCCTGGGTCCTCAAGGCTTCGCTTGCTTTGCTATCAGGTTGTAAGCCAGGTCTGCTCTCGAGGGAAGTATTGGAAGTGGGACCTGGACTTTTCAAACAAGTAATCTGAGCATTGTATCCAAAGAATCAGGAATCTGGAAGGTCACTCACAGGCCTTCGCCTCAGCCCATGTGCGCACTGGCCCTGTGGCTCAGACTGTAATAACTGCATGAAGTAACAGTGTACATAAACATAAGGCAAGCAGCTTGCCAGAGGTGAAGCCTGAAGCCACACCCAGAGTGCCCCGCAGTCATCTCCACGCCTGCTTTCCTCCTTGCTGCAGTTGCTCTCAGCTTGTGCAGATCCATGGAATGAAGGCTTAATTAGAAAAGGTCCACTACCTATTTTTGTGAGAGGAATTAAGCAGATAACATATGGCTTGGAAGACAGGTGTGCTCTGTGCATGAATAGATGTCCTTCTCTGGCCTGTGGAGTTGTCTTGATTCCCAGGTCTGCTGGCTGGCACTGAGGACCACAGGAACTGTGCTGTATGTGCCCCATGCTCTTGCTCGGTCGGTGTGGCCCTCAAAAGCCTCCCCTGCCACCAGAAGGGCCTGACAGGATCACAGCCATTCTCCCCTCTGTGGGAGCCGGCGCAGGGCTGGAAACGTCTTCTCCAACCTTTGGCCTCATCCAGCCTGCCCTCCGGATTTGAGCCCGCCCACAAACGGATTCAGGGCGAATTGTGAACTGATGGATCCTTCTCTGGCAGTTAAAACTGTGAAACTCCCACGTGGCCACAGCAGGGCTCCTGTTTCCAGCTGCGGGGCATGGCTGATGCTGTGATCCCCACCACCTCCCTGCTCTTCGAGGGCTGCAGGGCAGTGACCGGGCTTTGCCAGGCAGCCGTGACTCAGGTGCATGGTGACGAGAAGAAGCCCACGACCCCAGGTGTAAACGAGAACCCTGCTAGTTAGTGGTGTTGGCTCGATTCCTTTCAGAGATGCAGGGAGCATGAGCCACAGGGGTGCAGAAGCCGCCCAGAGGGGCAGACCGTTCCAGTGAGAGGCTGGCTTAGGGTGGAAGCCCCATAAAGCATTAGACGCAGCTGCCAGCAGCAGGCTGTGAGCAGACTCACTGAGACACGTCAGCTCGCTGGCTCCTGCCAGGTGCTAGCAGAGTTCAGGCCCCGGCTTCCTCTGCAGTGATTCAGCAGGGTTCTCACAGGCAGATGTCTCCTTATATCATTTAAAAGAAAGGAGTCTGTGTGGTGGCCCACACACTCAGGGAGGCTGAGGCAGGAGGGTCGGTCATAGTCCTGGTGTGCTCGGGGGCAGAGGCAGGAATGGGGTCTTATGCATGCTGCTCACAGCTGCTCTCTGTGTCTTGCAGGTGGATGATGCCAATTGCGACCCTGAGCTGCTGTCCTTGCTGCTGGATGCCGGGCTGCTGGTGCCCTGTGTCCCCACCCCCTTCTACCCACGCCTCGTCCGCCACTTGCTGGCTGTACAGGGCCGCTGGGACATGGAACAGCTGGCTGCACAACTCCAGGCGGCCGGCCATGAGGCTGAGGCTGGGTCGCTGCTGCTGGCTGCACGGGACACTCACCGGGCCTTGCGGACTTTCCATGCTGCCCTGGGTGCCGGGCAGCCGAGGGTGTGAGGAGATGCAGGCTGCTCGGCTGAGGCTCTGCGATCGCAGCGCCGCAAGTGAAGCCCAGCATCGGCCAGCGTCCAGCTCCTGTGCCCTGACCCTGATCCATGGGCATGCACTCCTGGCGGCCAGTGCTTTCTTCCTGTTTGCTTTTTAATTCTGTCTCTTCTCGAGAGAAAACAAATAACAGAGATTCCAGATGCGCTGCAGAAAATGGGGTGTGCAGTACTGGGTTGTGTGCAGGGGAAAGGGTATGCACAGGCCGTCAGCGTGAGTTGCTGGGGGCTGGGCCTGGGTTCAAGTCTCAATTAGAAAAATGGGCGCAACGGTTACCCCTGTAATCCTGGCATTCTAGGAGGCTGAGGCAGGAGGATGGCAAGTTCTAGTCCAGCCTGGGTGATTTAGCGAGATACAATCTAAAAAAGGATTGAGGATGTGGCTCAGTGCAGGGCAGGCTCAAGGGAAATTATTGGTTTCTGGTAAATTATCGCACAACTCTTTTATTAGGAAAAGGTTAGTCAAGGGGTGCTTTGGAAGGTTTGGAATACATAATGGGTATTCTGTTATTTCTCATGGGAAATACAGTCTTGACTTACAATTTGAGTTACATTTTGCCCTCGGAATTGGATTGAGTTTGTAAGCCAAGGGTCCACTGAATAGCCATGATCTTGTAGGCACAAGAGGTTATTTGAGCACTGTGGTGTTGACTTCCTAGTGAAGTGGGAGTTTTATCATCCTGATCTAGAGGGAGACTACTCCCTTTTAAGAAAAAAGATCCGAGCTGGGCATGGTAGTGTACCTGTGTGATCCCAGCACTCTTGGGAAGCTGAGGCAGGAGGATAGCAGGTTCAAGCCCAGCCTGTAAAATTCACTGCCCCGCTCCCACCCAGTCCTGATGGCAGGGATGGCTCCCTGTCCAGTGCATGGTTACAGCAGAGCCACTGAGCAGGGGGAGCCAGCCCTGCCATCAGGACCAGACGGGAGCAGGGCTGAGACTCAGAAATCTCAGAAAACAGTGATAGGATAGGGAGCGGGCAGCAGAGGCCAGTCTTGGCGATGTCCTTCTCTACAGACTTTTCTTGCTGCTGAAAACCCCCTGAGGGTTGCCATGGTGACCCTGCTTCCAACCTGTCAGCTGGGCTGCTCAGGGACCCAAGCTTTACCAGAGAGGGGCAGACAGCCTAGAGCTACCCGCCCCCCCATCCCCAGGGTCAGCACTGGTCCTCAGGGCCTTCTGCTTAGAAGATGGCCTCGCAGGGAAGGGGACAGGGGATGGGACACGAGGCCCAAACCCCTAGCTTCATATGCCCGGTCCCCACCACCCCAGGCTCGGGGCTAGGATTGTTCATGATCTTTCTTGCAAGCACTTGGAGGGGTTTGTGAAGCTCTTTCTCAGCTCTAGACTCTCGTAACGAATCCTTATTTTAAACATGAGACTAGCAAGGCATGCTGGTATACAGCTGTAATCTCAGCCCTCTCAGAGGCTGAGGCAGGAGGATTGCAAGTTCCAGCCTAGCATGGGGCCACTTAGTGACTTAATGAGACCTCATCTCAAGAAATAAAGGTTAAGGGTCTGAGGATGGAACTCAGTGCAAAGGCCCTGGGTTCAACCCTCATTACCAAAAGGTAAAAAAAGATACAGATGGAGGAAAGAGATCACTGGGCCAATCATAGCCAAGCTGGACATGGACCCTGGCTTTTCTGGTGGGAGTCCTGTACTCTTCCTTCCCTCCCCGTGCTGCTGCTTGGTCCTCCCACCCCCTGCTTCTCACCACCAGACTGGTTAGTTAGGGACAAGATCAGCTCTTCCCCCGGGGCAGGAGCAGGTCTGTGAATGTTCTGCTGTGGGTGGAGAAGAGGGCCTGTGCCTGTGGTGGGCAGCCAGGGCCTTTCCACTGAGTTCCATCCTCAGACCCAGGTGAGTGCCTGGATGGTACCCTGGGGCCCACTGGAGGGGCTCTGGGCTGAAAAGGCACAGGGCAGGTGGTGGGGCTGGGCCGGGAGCATGCTTCTCCCAGGCAGTGTGGGGGAAGTGACCCCCTGGCCTGGGCCCAGCCCACATGAGCCTGGGACTCTTCGTCTGCTTGGCCCACCAGGTACAGCTTGCCCTAGGAGGGAAGGCACGTTAGCAGTGTGTTCCCCAGCCCAGGCACAGACTGCAGCAAAGCTCTCACCCCAGGATCCATCGCATCCTGGGTGTAGGCTTCTGGGTGTGGTTGTACACTGTGTTTACTTTGAGCCCTGGGGACTCAGGTAGGGAGCTGGGTGTGCAGCATCCAGTCCTGCAAATGACTCTGTCAGGACTGCACATGGGCCAGCTCTGCCCAGAGCCACTCAGAATGGTGGTTTCTTAGGCCAGTGTTACGGTATAGACCTAGGTATCGCCCCAAAGTCTGTGTTCAGAGCTGTGGCTTTGGAAGGTGATGGACCATGGGGCTCTGCACTCATCAGAGGATCCATGGCATATGAGGTCAGGACTGAATGTGCTGTAGGAGGTGGGGCCTAGCTGGTGGCTCCCCGCCCTCCCCCCTGGTGGCTATGAGGTGAGCAGCTTCCCTCTGCCAGACCCTTGTGCCATGATGCATCTGCCTAGAAGCATCCGCCATGGACTGAACCAGCCATAACCATGCACCAAATTAAACCTGGCCTCCTGTAAGTTGTGGGCCTCAGGTGCTATGAAGTGTGATCCAGATGTGAACATCAATAGCAGGAGCTCAAGGACAGCATGCCCCCTGTCACCAAGTGCTGCTGAGAGCCAGGATGGAGTTCCTGTGGGCCCAGGCAGAAGGACATGGCAGGGAGCCAGCAGGATGTGTGAGTGGCTCTGAGTCTTGTCCCCTGCTGCAGGGCCATGGCAGGTGCAGTACCCATACCTTATTTGCACCCAGACTTGTGTCCCGTGGTGGCTCAACAGTGCTGCCACCATGGGGCTCCCTGTGCTGCAGGGCCTGACTGGGTCACCCTCTGCCTGGCCCTGGCTCTGCTGCTGGAGGGCACTCAACCCACTCTGTTCTAGGATTCCCACTGCACCTGTGGTTAAATACCAGCATCAATCAAAACATACAGTGAATGTTAGAACAAACAAAATGTCATGCTGTAAAAGAAGCACTGCGACAGATCCCTTCAAACTCCTCGCATCACTTCAAGCACACTTGTCCCATTCTTGCCACGTTCTGCAGCAGCTCTGGAGTCCTCTTTCCTGAAGGTCTCTACCAGGTGTGATCACAAATAACAATGACTGCTGCTGCTGAGCACTATCCAAAAGAAAGGCAGCTCTTACAAACATGATGCCGCGGCCTCATCCTCCTTAGTCACCAGGCTTGGCACCGTGCGACTTTCGGCTCTTCTCTAAAGTCATAATGACCATGAAAGGAGACGTTTTGAATCCTTCAGAACATGGAGGCAGCCAGGACACCACAGCTAAGGACCCTCAGGAAAGGGTACTCCAGAGCTGCTGCGGGAAGCGGCATGATGGGAGGAGTGTGCTCAAAGTGAGCAGAGGATTCTGAGGGGATTCCTGGTGATGTGTCTTTTCCTGTAACAAGTTCTTTTTTACTTAGTCACCCACCACACCTTCTGATCACAGCCGTGGGTCAGTGCGCCCTCTGCCAGTGCACTGAATTGCATGCCACATTTAGCTGCCTGCTAAACTCATGTCCTAGGTGGGGCTTTGAACGCCTGAGCCCTTTTCCTCCTTAGCACAACCCAGTGAACTAGGCACAGAGATCGCCCAATGCACAGATGGAGAAACTGAGGTACAGAGCCCTGACATAGCTTGCCTGTGTTGCACAGCTGGGAGCCTGCATGCACCCAGGCTGTGGGCCAGATTCAGCATCTTCACAGCTACTGTGCCCTGATCCAAGGTGGCCGGAAGTATCCTGTCTCCCAGCATGCAGAACAGCATCAAGTTCACCAGAGACGCTTAGTTCGTATTCATATCTAGGGGTCGTGGTGCCCGTGCCCACCTGTAATCCGGGTACTCTGAAGGCTGAGGCAGGAGGATTGCTGCAAGTTCAAAGCCAGTCTGGGCTACAGACTGAGACCCTATCTCAAGGATAAATAAGTCAAATGAGCAAATGGAAAAAGTGAATAAATGAAAAAGTTTTGTCTTCTACCTTATGAGTCTCAAAGTGAACATTTGATTAATTTTTAAAATTTAATTTTTTTGTACTGGACATTGAACCTAATCCCTTCACACTGAGCTGCATGTCTCAGCTCTTTTTCATTTTTTTACTCTGAGACAAGTTCTCTCTAAATTGCACAGTTGTGCAGACTGAGGTAGAATTCGGGATCCTTCTACCTCAGCTTCCCTGAGAGCTGGCGTTCTAGGTTTGCAAAGACACACCTTGCTTTCTGGATGGTTCCAGTACTGGACATTCTTGCTCACAGGCCCAGGAGCCTAACTGGCCCAGGGTTTGAGATAGGCCCTATGGTGCCTGAACTGTACCTCAACCTCTGTTCCTATGGCCCCAGCCACTCTCTGAGGAGGATCCCCCACTCATCTGGGCACTTTTGCTCTAAGGACATGAATGGCCCTGGCAACTTCCAAATTATTTAAAGCAGTATAATAAAAATAACAGGGCTTGCCGGGTATGACGATGTAGATCTGTAATCCTGACACTCAGAAGGCTGAGGCAGGAAGAGCCCAATTTCGAGGCCAGCTTGAACAGTTCAGTAAGACTCAGAAAATAAAGGGATGGGGATGCAGCTCAGTGCAAAAGAACTGAGTTCAGTCCCTAGTACTGACCAGTCAATCAGTCCTTGAGCAAGGGCAGGATGAATATTTGACCATGCTTTTCTTAACGTCTAATCATTAAAAAAAAAAAAAAAAAAAACAAAAAAAAAAACACCACCCAGAGTCTATTGGCAAGAGAGAGACATGGCTCTGTGATGCCCCAGCATCACCTTTGCGGAGGGTAGAAGCGCTGGGGGTGTCACTTCGGAGGCCTGGGTAGCTGGCAGGGACCTGTCCCTTCCTGGGCAGCAGCTCAGTGTGGTGTCAGAGCACCTGCGGGAGGTGACACCAAGCTCAACTGCCACCACATCTGTCCCAGGAGCATCATTGGGCCCCAGGGCCTCCGGTTTTTCATGCATGGGCTGAGTCATAGGGTCCCCAGCTGGTCAGCGTCCCCAACACTGCTGGGGATGAATGCATCCTCACAGAGAGAAGGCAACTGGGTCTATTCTGTGACATGAATTCCGTGACCTTGGGTGCCATGGCTCACACTGCCTTTGTGTGTGTGCATGACTCAGCGTGCCAGCTCATCTGTGGGGAGGGACCTTCTCGCCTGGGTGATGTCCTGTGTGGCTACTGCCCTGGCATCCTTTACCCCTTCCTGCTGGGGGAGCTGCATTCAGAGTACAGTGAGTTTCTGGTTTCTCCAGTTTGCCTGAGCACGCTGATGGCCTCTACTGTGGGAAAGAAACTGGGTTGCTTATAATCAGCGATATGGCAGCAGAACGCGGGAGACAGTTTGGTTCTAGCTCCAAACCAGGAAGGCCTTTCATCAGTGCTCGTCCCATTCCCCAGCTTCCGTTCCAGGGGCTGAGGTCGGTCGTTGTTTGAAAGTGTCTCCTTAGGTAGCCCAGGTGATTTTGAACTCGTGATCCTCCCGCCTCAGCCTCCCGAGTGCTAATGGAAATGAGTTAAGATGAATTGGTGCTGTCTCAGCCTCTGGCATGGGGATGAGCAGCAGATGCAGAGGAGAGGACCCCTTGAGTTGGTGCGCAGTGGAGAGACGCGGGTGGGCAGCTGGAACCCAGCTCTGCTGCCCTCTGGTGGGGGTTCTTGGGGTAGAGCACCGAGCTCCTGCACTTCAGTCCACATCAGAAAGCAGAAAGCGGGTCCCCCAGCTGAGGGGGAGAGATAGACTTGATTCACCAAAAAATTCCAAGAGGGGTATTTTCCCCAAAAGCGACATTTTTCAAAGAAATGAGACCAAGTTAGATCACGCCAGAAATAGCAGTTTATCAGACTCCTAAACGCTGTGCCATGTGTATCTGCTCTAGAGTCAAATTCCTCAGATCTTCCCGGGGTACAGACACACCTGGGTTCCCTGAGAAATTTCCTCTTGTTATTTGTAGCCTTTATACAAATGCATCAGGCCATCTGAGACAGCACAGCTCAGTGGCATAAAAATAAATGCAGTTCCCATAAAAGGGTGGATCAACAAATAAGGTCAGTGTTTAAATAAAAATACTCATTGCAGTAAAACACAGATTGCTACTATTATGCCTCAAAATACTCAAAATAGAGCCAGGTGTGGTGACATACATCTGTCATCCCAGGACTCAGGAAGCTGAGGTAGGAGGGTCAGTGTGAGTTTGTGGACAGCCTGAGTTATATCCTGACCCTGTTTCTAAAACCAATCCCTCAAAAAATGCCTCAAAATTTTCCCTATTGCTTCAAAGGCACATGGTCCATTAATTCTTGGTGATGTCTTTTATCATAATGGTCTAAGATAAATGCTGCTGTCCTGTGTGTGCACCTTAATTTTCTTTCTGGATTTCTCACATCCTTTCTGTCACACTTAAGGCTGCAGTTTAGGGCCCCACCCTGCACTGCCTTCCTCTGGATGGTGTGGACATTCCTAGAATTTAAAAATAATCCTCTGTCCAAGTTCAACAGTCTTTACGTTTATCAAATGCTTTTCTGTATGGAATTTTACAAAACCCCGAATAAAACCCTGGGAGGCAGATATTAATTTATTTGCAAACGAAGAGCCTGAGTGCCATGAGGTTATATGACTCCTTTAAGGTCACCAAAGGGCGGCACCCGGGTGTGGGCCGATCCAGCCATTCAGTGACATCGCCTGCAAACTGCCACACATTTGGTGCTGCTGATCAACAACCCGTAGCTTATGCTCCAGGGCCCTGCGGGTCAGGCATGTCGAAGGACTGTCCCATCATGTGTCACCTGGAACCTCCCAGGATGGGGCACAGGAAGGCTGGTGACCCTGGCACAGGATCGTAGAATATCCAGTGGCTCCTACTTGACGCTGGTCACCCACAGAGCCTCTGTGCGGGCTGGGGTTGGAGCGCCTACCGGTGGCCTCGCCTGGGGTGACAGCACGGTGGACCGGCCAGGCGCAGAAAATCAAAAGCCAAATAGCCTGGAAAGGTGGCTCACGCCTGTGATTCCAGCCTTCAGGAGGCTGAGGCAGGAGAAATGCGAGTTTCAGGTCAGCCTGGGCTACACTGTGGGACAGTGTCTCAAAAACAAATATGGTGGTAGAGAGTAGAAAATAGAAATTAACTCACATTAAAATCATATTTACAGGGGCTGGAGGTTTAGCTCAGCGGCATAAGCGCCTGACTTGCAAGCAGGCAGTCGTGAGTTCAATCCCCGGTACCGATAAAAAGGAAAAAAGACAAAATCATCATCATAATAATAATTACAGCCTTAGAATTTTTTTTTTTTTAAAGACACCGTGACACCTCTGCGCCATACGCTGGTTAAGCTCTGAGCTTCCTGGGAGCAGGAGGAAAGGCCCAGGAGCACTGGGGAGCAGGGGCGGTTCTGGGCTCGCCTTCCTTTGCCTCTCGGATCCCTCATTTCTTATTTTAGGGACCCCTAGGGCCGAGGCTGAGAACCGCGCCGCACTGTGAGGAGACAGGCACCTGGGGTCGCTGGCAGGTGCGGTCTCCAGATGTCGCCTCTTTACCCTCATCCAGGCTGCAGGTGGCGTCTGCCCGCTGCGGCTCCCGGGAGCAGATCTTACAACACCGCCCTCTGTGGAGGATGCATCTTCACCCTCTGGACCCAAAGGAGCCAGGATTGAGTTCCAAGCGCTCGGTTCACTAGGCCAATCGCAAAACCACAGTCTCAATCCTTATTTCAATCCCCGGACGGTCGAAGGACCAATCAGAAGGCACTATTCCTCACCCTTTATTTACATATGGGCAGAACCAATCAAATGACAGTGTTTCGGATACTTCATTTACATCTAGTGAGAGGCCTAGCTAGTTTCCCCTGGCGGCAATTTACACCAGCAGTGGCAATGTCCACCCATTGAGGTGTGGGCTGCTCCAGGGCGACCCCGGGGACTTTTCCAATGCTCTTTCTTATTCGCCTTCGCTCCAGGACAGGGGCTCCTGCTTCCAGGTCACCCTGCAACTCATCTCTTCTTAGATGCTCAGCTTGTCGGGCAAGAGACTGCCCAGTTCATCTCCCAGCTGCAAGTGTCTTGTGATTCCTGTGTTAAGAGTACTCAGCGCTGGGCCCAAAACCTGAGGGCTAGTGTGCGCCTGAACTCAGAATGATTCAGATTGGGAAGGTGTTACTGGGAATTAAACTCAGAGTCCTTCTTACTGAGAACATCCCCAGTTCTTTTTTAAAAAAATATTTTTGAGTCAGGGTCTTGTAAGTTGTCCAGTCTGGGCTCAATTTGAGATTCTCCTGCCTCAGCCTCCCAGAGTGCTAGTGTTGCAGGCGTGCACCCCTATGCCAAACTGTGGGGTGTGTTTTGTATATCAATAGCTTCACAAACCCTGGACTAGCCACATGCTATCAGCCACATTAATAGCCTTGCTGTCAGAGTAGAAATATTCCCCTTAAAAGGGCCAATTAAAGACAGCATCTGCTTCAGTTCAGGTGAGGTCAGATTTTGTGCAGATAAGTTGAGAAAAATGGCATTAGCTGGCCTTTTTGCCTTGGAGTCCAGGATAAAGGACAGTGGGCCTGTATTTCTAAAGAATCTGCCAGTTTCCCCCAGGGCTGCCGAGGGAGGGAGCGAAGCGCTGCTTTAACACTTTCTCAAGAGACCCTTAGCAGAAACGCAGCTTGGAAGGGAGTGCAGCAGCTGGCCAGACCCCCAGTTGGTTCTGGGCTCACCTGGGCCGGCCGGGGTCAGGCTTGTGACCCCAGGGGAAGATAGGCTCCATCTGCAGAGCTCTAGAAAGTCACACATCAGCATCTTTCAGCTGAGCGGCCACTAGGGGTCCCTGGCTCTGCCAACAGGGCATCCGCCTCACCTCTGTCTGATAAGCTGGTCCTCGAATTGGCAGAATAAGTGGCCTGGAAAGGTCGGATGAAAGGGTAGGTGTGGGTGAGCAAAAGAAAAAGTACAAGTCCCAGAGATGCAGTGGAGATGTCGATTTAGGCTTAAAAGCAGA